AAAGACAATTGTTAATATAACTCCGACTGGATTCGTCTGAAAGAAGAAAGTCATATACGCCTAGGATGGCTTGAGGGTGAGTAATTCATGGGCTAATTTTCATTTTTGGGTGAACTAACCCTTTAAATGTCTTTTTTAGTTCCTATCACATCCTATGCTGTCACCAAATAAATGTGTACAAACAATTTAATGAAATACCTGGACACCCAAGTAAATTGGTTGGTATTCCAAAGAAAGACTGTATTATTAAAATCACAATTCAAGTTCACTTCATTAATGGAAACTTTGGCATTTGATGTAGACAAACCTCAAGGGCTGTACAATAAAAAACAATAAATGATCTCAACTTCACTACTTTCACTGTTATTTCAGTCATATTGCATCAGTAATCACAGAACATGAACACACAAAGGTTTAATTCTTTTCAAATCACATTTAAAAAATTGAGATAAAATTCACAATTCAACAGGTCTGAAACAGGCAGGGTCATACTGGCAGCATATGAAAAAGAAACGTCAAATATATTTTCGTACATCCTCACTCATGAAATTCCTATTTTCAATTACATCGATTTAAAAAAATAAAAGGTTAAAAAGAAAAAAAATCCTGCAATGGCTCTGGAAACAGGAACTAATACGCAATATCTGATGCATAATATGATGAGAGTGTTTCTTCTTTGTTAGGATAAATATACAAGCATTATAGATTCATTTACCTGAGTAAGATATCATAAACTATACAAAGCTTTTAAAAGACTAAAGCACATACATTAGACGAAGGATTACAAACATGTTACTCCACTGATGGTGTAGGTAGTGCAGATTAGAGAAAGGCGGGTGGACAGACATGAAAGTGGCTACACAATTCATACCTTCAACAACAAGAACCGCTCCATCACTCCTCCAGAATCTGATGCAGGACCTTCAGTAGGTTCTTCAGGCCGTAGATGTAACCCTGGTCGGGAACGTCACTAGGGAAGACATGTGCAAAGTCAATCATCTTTACCTCCACGTCACTGACCGTTTCCTGTCCCGCTTCGCTCTTGCTCTCTTTCCTGTCCTCTTCCAGTCTTGCCAAGCCGCGGTTGCCGTTGGGCTGCTGCGAGGAGCTCCAAACGCCATTGTCCTGTTTGGCTTGGTAGTGGCTCCGGCCGCAGCCTTTCTTGTGCAGGGAGTACATGGTGGAGAGGCTCTGATCGATGTTGTTGTTCTGCTCACAGGCCTCGGGTGCGATTGGGCTCTCCCGTAGGGTCTGAGAGACGAGACTGGGCACGCAGACGCCCTCGTAGACGAAGAGCAGAGAGCTTGCATAAAAGTTGAACCGACTCTGGCCCTCAAACCACTGAAGGATCTTCTGGACTTTGAGGATGCTGGCAGTGATGGCATCTTTGCGGAGAATGTCATCGTTGTAGAAGAACTTGGATAAACCTGCAGAACAATGAGGATGTTGTTCGTAACTGAATTAGTACATATAAAACCACAACGGGGCAAATGTTTGGAGTAATTAAGATTTTTTTAATGTTGTTGAAAGAAGTCTCTTATGCTCACCAAGGCTGCATTTATTTGATCCAAAACACATTAAAAATCTGTACTATTGTGAAATATTGTTACAATTTAAAACAACTGTTTTTTTTTCTGTAATGCAAATCTAAATTTCCAGCAGCCACTACTCCAGTCTTCAGTGACAAGATCCTTCAGAAATCATTCTATGCTGATCTGGTGTCTACATTTTAATAAATTTTTATTCGGTGATCAATTATTATTAATGGTCCTTATTACTATCAAAGTTTGCTGCTAAATATTTTTGTGGAAAAGGTTTTTTTCTTCAGAATACCTTGAAGAATAGAAACAGCAAAAGAACATTTATTTGAAATACATTTTTTTTGTAAAACTATAAAAGTCTTCACTGTCTTTTATGATAAATTTTACGACAGCGTTTTAGTGCCATGTAAAAAAAAAAAAACATTACGAGATTAAAGTCTAAATACTACGAAAATAAAGTTGAAATACTACGAGAATAAAGTAGAAATATTTCGAGAATAAAGTCTAAATGTTTCGAGAATTTAAATTATAGAAATTAAAGTTATAATATTTTGAGAGTATAGCCTATATTGCGCATGCAAATGGCCCGGATTGAGAGCACCGGGAGAAGCTGCCAGGCCACTGGAATTGATTTGAATATTGTTGCGTCCAAGCGGCCGCATAATCTTACTGGGATGAAGAAGAGTACATTTTAAGGACTTGCGGAAACTGCTTAATATCAAGAATATGATATTTATTAACAGACTGAACAGGAACAATTTTTTATCTTAAAGGTGCAGTAGTAGATCTTGGAAAATGCTAACGTTAGCCTGATAGCACTGAAAGCGAACGTCCCACCCTCCCTGCAATCGCCGTCCAAAGCCACGCCCCCTGAACGCATATACGCTCACAGACCAGAATACCAGAGACAACATTACTACAATAGGCTACATCAGCGGTTTCCAATTCTGTTTTGTAAAAATCGACGCGTTTCAAAAAGGCGGGGCATAGAGGAGAAACAATAATGTACAGTATGTGGAAAATAATGTGTTTTTTTAACATTAAACCGCATAAACACATTTCATTACACCAAATACACAAAATAATGTTCTTTTTAGCAGCATCATATGACCCCTTTAATACATTACACATATATGTGGGATTATTAGCAGAAATCATACCATGTTTCATACTCGCGGGGACAGTATGCGTGGAAACAATATTTCATGTCTTCGATTGCATTCGTTATTTGTAGTGCGCCAGCCCCCTTTTGCTTTTGGTACTTTTAATATAAAACAAAGCTTCAGCTTTCAAAATCAGTTTTATCGCGAAATACAAACAATGTGTCATACAATAATGTGTTTTTTTAAGATCTTTAATGTGGCGTGACAGATTGCTGTACTGTATTCATGTGAATCAATTCATAAAATTTTAGGCTACTGTTTTCTTTTTGAAAATTCATGTTTTATTCACGGTATAAATGATTGGACATAAAATTTAACGTCTTCCATTCATTATTTGTAGCATGCCAGCCACCCAGTATTCGCAATAATTTTGTTATTTTAATAATTTTAATATAACACAGCTCATTCAAATTCTGTCAGATTTATCACAAAATACAAATTATAAATGTGTTTTCCCTCTTTATTTCAAGTTTATAGCAAGACATAAAAGTGAAGGAACATCAGAAGGCATGAAAAAAATTTAACGTCTTCCATTCATTATTTGTAGCATGCCAGCCACCCAGTAATCGCAATAATTTTGTTATTTTAATAATTTTAATATAACAGCTCATTCAAATTCTGTCAGATTTATCACAAAATACAAATTATAAATGTGTTTTCCCTCTTTATTTCAAGTTTATAGCAAGACATAAAAGTGAAGGAACATCAGAAGGCATGAAAAAAAAAAACAGTATAGTCTAATTTAATGAAACAAATGTCTCATTGTAATCGGAAAGATGATTGACTCACATGCCGCTTAAACTGAAGCGAATACAGCGTTCTGTAACGCCGCATTAAAGAGTGTGAAAAACGCATTATTGTAAGACATATTGTTTGTATTTCTCTATAAAACTGACAGATTTTGAAAGCTGAGACTTTGAAATATCTCCCGGTGCTCCCAATCCATTTGCATGCGCAATAGGCTAGAATATACTCTCAAAATATTATAACTTTAATCTCGTAGCCTACTAAGTAATTTGACTTTATTCTCATAGTATTTCGACTTTATTTTCGTAGTATTTCGACTTTATTCTCGTAATATTTTGACTTTATTCGCGTAATATTACGACTTTAATCTCGTAATCTTAGAAAATTAATTATTCAAAACTTTTTACTAGCAATTTACATATAAACAAAATATAATCATTCCTTGTGTTCATACCTTGATTATTTTCTATCTATATTTTTTTTGTGTGAATTTTACATTACATTTTACATGTATGCATTTGCACAAGGTTTTTTTTTTATTGTCCAAGCGACTTATATTGCATTAAATCTACAAATGTTAATATGAACAATGCATTCCATGAGAAACATGATCTACTGGTTGAGCCAGAAATACTTTTTATTTTACTTCTTGTATTAAACATCTTTATACTACGGGGCCATTGAATGCTTCAATCTTATTGGCTGACGAACCTTCTAAGGTGTGCCATTATTTCCAGGGAAACGCACGGTGAATGTAGTTCCAGGCAGATCTTGACGGCATTACATGTCCATATCACTTCGCCAAATTATTTCAGTTATTTCAAAGGTCCTTACAGCCTACAACAGCAAAAAACCAAAACCCACAACGACACTGGCCAAACAAATAAATATAGTAAACAATAGGATAAAAACGACAGATCATTTACATGTTTTTGCCACAAAATTACGTTTTATTATGTAAGGAAAGCACATACTCCATCTCTAAAATTCGAAAAGGTTGAAGTAACAGTGGGCTGTGTTTACATTAATCTAAAAGCATTCTGAGCTGAGGTGAAATTACATGACTCAGCTGAACGCACAAGCACTCTTCAGTATTTTTCATGAGCATTTGAGTGTGCGGATAAAAACTAGAATAGAGCACCATCTGCTGTTAAAATCTAAGCTCGGAAGATCTCAGAATCGACCCACGAATCGATTCTGCATCGATTTGTCATCGCAGCCCTAGTAACAATGGTGCTGTTCGTGAAGAAAATTAACTTAAAATCTCTTTCTCTCTCTCTTTCTCTCTCTAATAACCAAGATATTAATTGCAGTCTGCTATCAATGTCTCAAGCCTCCGTTACTAAGTATTAAAAGACGTTTGGAACTAGCAACGGAGACGTTGGATGAGATGCGTAAGAAATTAATCCTACTCACAATAGCGTTTTAAGTACAAAAACCGGACTAATGTCTTGAAATATATTATCTGATCGATGTCTTGAGGTGTGGTAACCGTAGTATAAGCGGAATAATTGACTTTGGTCCGTTGAATTCTTAGAAAATAATGCACACCCGAGGTGTAATGGCCACTCTGCTTCGGGTCGTGGCCGTTACACCTCAGGTGTGCATTATTTTCTAAGAATTCAACGGCCCGTTGTCAATTATTCCTTACTTAATCTACCTGGCAACAATGGCTAATACTATCTGTCCGTGACTAACAATAAGAAGTTGGTTCATAAAGTAAACATCTAGTTATCTGCTATTAAAAAAAAAAAAGATAAGAGAGAAACTGATTTTAAACAACTGGATTTTAAAAGACAAATGTCAATCCAGGAAAGAATACTGTGCTCGTCAAGGCATTTCAAGGAGTCTTTAAGAGTAAATTAAACTTGTCCTCATTCATCCTAGATAAATGCAACAGAAACATAGTCTGCTTTAGGTAAGAGTGTTATGGTGTAAACAGTATGATGCTTTGACCCTGTGGTTGATCTTACCTTCCTTGATTGTGTCCTTCACGAGACCTCTTCCATAATGCTGGTCATATGTGTCAAAGCTGTCTGAGCCAACTTTATACACCTAAAAGACAAAAAATAAACATTTTAAACTAGAGTTGAATATGAATAGTCTCTTCAAAGGTCTGGCTCTCCCTCTAGAGGACATTCAAGGTCATTACAGTGTCTCCTCTGACTGAATTAACTCCAGTGAGGAAATTAAATTCAAGTTGAACTTCTGGAAAGGGTGATGAGGGAGCCAATAAAATATCGTACTGTGTAATTTGGGTTTATTTTGAGAGGGGCATTAAGTTCCTTTCTATATCATCCAAATCAACAGCGCAATTATGAGTAATGGTTCTGTTTGCTTGGTGGTTATGTAGATCGGCTCTTTTCATCCATCTGTTTTTCCGTACGGGCTGGCAGAGAGCTGAACCCCTGGGACAGCCTGAGACTGAGAATTTACATATCGTCTGCTCCCCATCAATATTTCACCAAGAAACTGGACCTCGCTGCCCTTTCTATGTGCAATTTTAGACAACTCCTATCCTGAAGATTTCAAATTTCCATATTTTTTTACGTAGTAAAAGTTCAACCAATCATTGTCCTTAAACGACTGGACTGTGCTTCTTTTACTTAAGCTGCCCTTTGAAGCAGAGGGGTAAAACAAACAATACAAACATCCTGAAATAAATAAAGTATCTATAACACATAAATTGGACTCTTAAGCTGTGTCAAGCTCAATACATAAGGGATAGACACTGAAAATAAAAGAACAGATGTATTGCGTTCATATATACATACACAAACACACACATACAAATATAAAAACAGTAATACAACTGTATACAGTATGAAAGTTAAATTCTTGTTTGAAATCCAAATTTTAAATACAAAAATACAAATATAAATAAATCTACTCTGACGATTATTATATTACACTGTAATTTTTTGGTAAAATTAGGGCACAATGACCTGTATTAAAATTAAAGAATTTTCTGTATTGATTTTTTTACAGGCATTTTACCTTTATTTTGAATTTTGCACGTGCACAGGGTAAACAGAAATGTCCGTAAAATTAATTGATAATGTCCTAAAATATTAACTGATAATGTAGCAGTACATTTTCCTTTTTTTTTTTCTTTTACAGTGTATATTATACTGCAGGGTTGTTGAATGCTTGAATGAGATTGGTTGTTGAAGGTAATAATCACACACACCCCGAACATTCTTCTGTAGTTACTTACTAGAAATAAACTTAATAGCTTCAAAATTTGTGTTTTCAGTATGGATGTGTGGATTGTAGAGCAAACCATCAAAGTATTGTCAAGTTATGTTTTCCGCAGACTTTATTTTACTCATGAATTGAAAAACCCCATTATAAAACCCCATAGGACAATTTTAAGGGAACTCATGGCAAATTATTCTTCTGCGTTTTGACTTCATATTTGCACCACTCTATTAACACACATCTACAATCACTCTCTCTCACTCTGTCGCTCATTCTAGTAACTGCATTAGAGTGCATTAATAACTGCATTATCAATGGCTCAAGCCTCTGTTACTATCTCTAAAATGACATTTTGGAAATGGCAATGGAAGCTTGAGATGAGATGCGTAAGTTGCCCTACACCCAAGAGCATTTTAAGGACAAAAACCTGACAAATGCCTTAAAATGCAACATCTTAACAACATTTTGAGGTGTGGTAATTGTAGTATAAGTGGAATAATTGACTCTGAGCCATTGAATTATTTGTTAAGTTAGTTTATTGTCATTCTGCTATATGTGGAGACATAAAAGGGAACGAAATGTTGTGCCTCACAGGACCACAGTGCTACATATATAAAGACATATAATTCTATAAAAAAAGAAAAAAAAAACATATGTAAATGTACATATGTTTTTTTCTCACGGAAATCATAGGGCCCTCTATATGCTACATAGGCCTAGGTATATGTACATATACCCATATAACACCTACATATAATACCTATAACATATATTTGGCCCTATGATTTCTGTGATGCAGAAAACAGACAGAATTGCAGAATCCAGTCATAAAAACAGAATTTAATGTATAACGCGGAATGTCACGGAATTTGTCAAACTTTGGATGAATTACTCAAAAGTAGGTCATTACACTTAAATCAAATCGCGGTATGGACCAATATATGTAAATCTTAACCCTCTGGTGCTCCTCATTTGGGAGTCACACTTGTGATCTTCAGTCAAAAGTGACCGGACACCTAAAATGTAACTTTTTTTCCCACCAGTAAAATCAATGTAACATTTTTGTTCTATAATATTTTTTATTTTTATTTTGAAATAATTTCATGGTACTAATTCATATTTATGCAATAATTATTATCAATTTCTTCCCATTGAAAATAATATTTTTTAAATATATTTTTATATTACTGTTCAATTAATGCAGTATTTCATGTTAAAATAAGAGTCATTGCCTTTAAAATCCAATTTTTGAAGCCAGATTAGTGCCATCTGGTGGGAGTAAAATAAGAAAAAAAGAATCTGCAATTCCATGGTTTAGCCCATATATTCCTATATATCTGTGTATAAAAGGCCTATACATTCTCTAATTGTTTTTAGACATAAATACTTATTTTTATTACGTTAGCTATATATTTATATAGATATATAGATATACATCATCAAAGACAACTTTTTGTAAAGGTTTAGATTTTTTTATTTTTTTTGGTTTGAAATGTTTATTTGAAGCGTCAGTTTTTGAATTATTGTTACTAGTCAAACCTGAACACAGAAAGTTTTTTTTTTGTTACACAAAACATTACAATTCTATAAAAATGTTTTCTGACTCGTTTTGGCTATATGGTTATAGCCATACCAATTCCTTTGAGTGTGTATAATTGTGTGTGTGTGTGTGTGTGTGTGAGTGGATGTGTCTGTTTTGCACTCTTGATGTTTTGCGTCCACTTTTTTACTGCACTGTAGTTGAAGTATTGCTTTTATTTTACATATTTGCTGTGTTACAGTCACACCAGTTCATAGGTGTGTGTTTGTATAAGTGTGTGTGTATGCGTGTGTGTGAGTGGATGTGTTGCTTTTGCACTGATGTTTTCTAGTTTCACCCCGTCATTGCTGCATACTTTTTTTCTGCATTGTGGCAGATTTGCTATTCGTGAATTGTGTGCATTCATTTCCTATGGTCGGTCATTTTTGAATAATCCCCTCAATTTTGTGTGTGTTCACATTCCAAATGCCATAAAAGTCACCAAGTTTCGTACCATTCCGATGAAGCTGTGATTTTTAAAAATTCAAAACAGAAAATTTTTCGGTCAGAAGTGACCGAAGAGCACCAGAGGTAAGATGCAAAAATACTATTTAAATATGAATTCTTTATGTTCTGTGCGTCTCTGTATGGATGAATGGCGCAGGCACGCGGTTTTGTTTACTACACACATACTGAAGTGTGAGTGACGCTCGCGGGGTTTTCAGCGTCTGCTGTCCCACTAAATGAGGACATAAATACATGTACAACATCTCCAGAACTGTTCTGACAGTCACTTCATGAGTATTTTACCATTTCATTTGAGAGAAACTATATCATATTCACTCAGAAACTTAAAAGGTATTCACGGCAACCCATCAAAATAAAAGTTCGGTTTAACTTGAAGACATTGTGCCAGAAATATATTAGCCTACTATTGTTCAGTAATTGTACTACTACTAAAAGTATTAAAACTTTATTTTTAAGGAATAATCACAAAACATTTCTTCCAAGTTGTAATTTTAAAAGTAAATCTCCATTGTTTGCCAAAAAATAAAGTTTGTTTAATTTTTCTGATAACCAGAAAATGTTAAATACACAAGATATAATTCATAAGGCTATTGTAAGAATCAATTTGAATAAATTAAGTTGTTTTTATGCATTCAAATAATTAGACATGCTAAAAAACAGAATTTGGTAACAATAAAACATATGGTGCGAAAAAAAATTCATAGGCCCTAAACATGTCATTTTTGTTAAACTTTTAATAAATTGATGTGGAATTGTATAAGCTTCATGATTTTAATCAATCAGACATGCTTTGATTAATAAAATGTTATCCATTATCCATTAAATGGAAAAAAACAATCCATAAAAATTAAAACGAAAAAAAAAAAAACATTTGGAGAAAAATAAAACAGAATTTGGGGACAGAAAATACAGATTTCATAGAGCCCTACATATATATGTAAACGGACCATCATCAATTATTCCTTGCATTAATAATATACATATGTATTACACTACAGACATTTATTTTAAAGATGTTTGGCTTTATTAAAGGGAAGATGCACTGACACATCTTACCTTGCTCTTGCATGCAATCAGGAAAGTTTTACATTACATATTTAAATCCATGTACAAATGAAGAAAGGCGAAACACAAAGGCTGTTCTCAGGGGACCTGCACATTTCCTCTGAGATAATAAAGAATGACATGGCTCTGCGTAAGTGAAGAGTGTTGAGTAAACCTCATCCATCATGAACTGATGATAAAGAGTTTAGAGGTCTCCACCCCTGTTTCTCAAGAGAGGAGCAGAAGACCCTGAGGATGCTGGGAGAGGCCATGGAGTGATAAGCTCATCCTGTCTGATGGTACAGATATCCAAACATATCCTTCTCCATATCCTTCTCCCTCTCCCTCTCTCTCTCCCCCTCTCCCTCTCCCTCTCCCTCTCCCTCCC